GTGCACGTGACTCAAGGACGTCTCACGGTGGTGCAAGGGCTGCTTTTTTTTGTTTGTTTTTTTTGAGATGAAGTCTCACTCTGTTGCCAGGCTGGAGTGTAATGGCCATGATCTCGGCTCACTGCAGCCTCCGCCTCCCGGGTTCAAGAGATTCTCCTGCCTCAGCCTCGGGAGTAGCTGGGATTACAGGCGTGTGCCACCACGCCCAGCTAATTTTTTTTTTTTTTAGTAGAGATGGAGTTTCACCATGTTGGCCACGATGGTCTCGATTTCTTGACCTCGTGATCCGCCCGCCCTGGCCTCCCAAAGTGCTGGGATTACAGGTGTGAGCCACCGTGCCCAGCCAAGGGCTGCTTTGTTGTTAGGTGTTGTAAGGTAACTTACAGGATTCTAAAGTCAAAACTGGATATAAAGCATGCTCAGAAACAGGCTCCGCTCCCCACCCACCCTCTGTCATGACTCTTACTTCTCATTCTCCCAGTGTGTTTTCATGAAAACGGAAGCAAATATGAAGATGTGTTCTCATTCCCTTCCCTTCCTTGGTCAAACAATGGCATACAGTGTTCTGCACATTGCTCCACCTCCCTGACAACACACTCCGGAGTGCTCACTGCATCACCTGTACAGACCCTTGAGGTGGGGCTGGGTGCCGTGGCTCACGCCTGCAATCCCAGCACTTTGGGAGGCTAAGGCAGGCGGATCACCTGAGGTCAGAAGTTTGAGACCAGCCTGGCCAACATGGTGAAACCCCGTTTCTACTAAAAATACAAAAAGCCAGGCGTGGTGATGCATTCCTATAATCCCAGTTACTCGGGAGGCTGAGGCAGGAGAATCACTTGAACCCAGGAGGCGGAGGTTGCAGTGAGCTGAGATCATGCCACTGCACTCCAGCCTGGGGGAAAGAAAAAGACCCCCTCTCAAAAAAAAAAAAAAAAAAAAAAAAAAAGGCTGGGTGTGGTGGCTCACACCTGTAATCCCAACACTTTGGGAGGCCAAGGCAGGCAGATCAGGTGGTCAGGAGATCGAGACCAACCTGGCCAACATGGTGAAACCCCATCTCTACTAAAATACAAAAAATTAGTCGGGCATGGCAGTGTGTCCCTGTAGTTCCAGCTACTCAGGAGGTTGAGGCAGGGGAATCACTTGAACCCAGGAGGCGGAGATTTCAGTGAGCTGAGATCACACCACTGCACTCCAGCCTGGCGACAGAGAACCTTGAGGGGGAACCTCCACTCTGGCCCCTGGTCTGGCACGTTGCATGTACCTACTCCTACTCTTCATAGCTCCCATTGGAAAACTCTAGTGGGAGCACCACACTTCCTTTGGAGGTCAGAGGTAGCCAGGCTCACCGGAGACGTAACAGCAGTGAAAGTTAGGTGATGTCTCACTATCTGGCACATAAGCCCCAATATGACAGGGAGCTGGTACCAATAAAGGGTGAAATGCGCTGTTGCTGCCTGCAGTCAGTATTTACCCGAGCTTGTTTTGGAAATGAGTTCCATGTGGTCTCCATTTATTGAACAGATACTGTAACTGGCCTTCGGGAAAGAGTCTGCTAGGTTTTGTGTGGTCCAAGGGTGAATCCAATGTGGACCCAGTGCTCAAGGACTTCGTAACCCATATGTTGGGGAAGACATATTCCCCTATGTAACTGGCTCACGTGTGATGAGGTGAAATACTTGGAGAGCTTCAGGGATGGACGGGGCAAGTGGAGTGAGTGGACCCAAGGAGCAGCAGCAACGCCTGAAGGCTCAGTCTTCCCCTCTTCTCAGAGTGAGGGTGATGGTATCTGCCTCATCCGATTGAAGGACTGAGAGCTTATAAAGCCCTTAACACAGGGCCTGATGTATCACAGGTACACAGGAGACTCTCCCAGACGGTAGCCACTACCAACCTTTCACAGGTACCTTCCTGTCTTCTTTTCTCCAAACAGGCTGGCGTGTTCATGGATAGACACAGGTGTGATAATGTACTTTTTACATATCATGCAGCATGCTCCTTTTGGTTTCAGGAGCTCTTTGCTCTTATGTAGCCTTTGTATACATTATCTTTCTTTTTTTCTTCTTTTATTTTTAATCTAATTTAATTTTTAAATTTTTTAATTTTAACTTTTTTAGAGATGGGGTTTCACCATGTTGGCCAGGCTGGTCTCGAACGTCTGACCTCAGGTGATCCACCCACCTTGGCCTCCCAACATGCTGGGATTACAGGCGTGAGCCACCGCGCCTGGCCTATTTTATTTTTTATTTTTATTGTTTTGAGATGGAGTCTTGCTCTGTAGCCCAGGCTGGAGTGCAGTGGCACGACCTTGGCTCACTACAACCTCCGCCTCCCTGGTCCCAGTTCAAGCAATTCTCTCACCTCAGCCTCCCAAGTAGCTGGGATTGAAGGCAGGAGCCACCATGCACAGCTAATTTTTGTATTTTTTTAGTAGAGATGGGGTTTCACCATGTTGGCCAGTCTGGTCTTGAACTCCTGACCTCGTGATCTGCCCGCCTCAGCCTCCCAACATGCTGGGATTACAGATGTGAGCCACCACGTCTGGCCCTATTTTATTTTATTTTTAGAGGTTTCATCATGTGGGCCAGGCTGGTTTCAAACTCGTGACCTCAAGTGATCTGCCTGCCTCGGCCTCCCAAAGTACTAGGATTATAGGCGTGAGCCACTGTGCCCGGCTTTTCTTCTTTTTAGATAAGAAATGCAGTCTTGCTCTGTCACCTAGACAGGAATGCAGTAGGACAATACTAGCTCATTGCAGCCTTGACCTCCCACCCAATCCAGCCTCCTGAGTAGCTGAGACTACAGGGGCATGCCTGCCACCAAAGCCTGACTAATTAAAAAAATTTTTTTGGCTGGGCATGGTGACTCACGCCTGTAATCCCAGCACTGGGAGGCTGAGTTGGGTGGATCACCTGAGGTCAGGAGTTCAAGACCAGCCTGGCCAACATGGTGAAACCCCATCTCTACTAAAAATACAAAAATTAGCCAGGCATGGTGGCACACACCTATAATCCCAGCTACTTGGGAGGCTGAGGCAGCATAATTGCTTGAATCTGGGAGCTGGAGGTTGCACCATTGCACTCCAACCTGGGCAACAGGGCAAGACTCAGTCTCAAAAAAAAAAAAAAAAAAACTTTTTTTTTTTTTTTTGGTAGAGATGGGGGTCTCACTGTGTTTGCCCAGGCAGGTCTCAAACTCCTGGGCTCCAGTGATCGACGCACCTCGGCCTAACAAAGTGATGAGATTTCAGGCGTCAGCTATGTTGCCCTACTGTATACATTTCAGTAACTCTAACATTCCCTTTGAGTGCAGGTTTCCATTATCACTGTTATGAAGGGTGTCACTGGGAACATTTCGGTGCATATGCTTCTTTCCGTATTCGGGAATATTTTCTTTGAAAGAATGTCCCTAAAGTGAAGCTACCAGGTCTCAGAGGGACTCACGTAAGGCCTGGGTCATTCATTCCTGCAGCTCAGCACAAGCTGAGCACAGCTTCAGTCTGAAATCAGTACCAGGTCCACTTTGTCCTCTCATTCCTCCAGTTCTGGCCTGATGTCTTTCATTCTCTTGAATCAATAGTTGCTGATATGAACCTCGCCTTTCTGCTTCTTGGGTTCCATAGGGCTTTTCTTGCTGGCTGCTTGATGTTGCACAGTTTAAGGACTGCTAGGAGGCTCTCAAGCTCTCTGACACTTCCAGGCTCTGAGACTAGAACAAGCTTGGGAATTCAAGACTGGCATTATGACAGTGAGTTACGGGGGCCGCGGAAGAAGGAGGCCAGAGCCTGTTGGGAAAGAATCTGGGTTTCACTCAGTGTGTCACGAGAAGCCTTGGATGCCATTGGGTTTGTTTTAAAAACATGACTGCAGTGAATGGACCTAGGCAAACGGGCAAGGGTGGACGCGAGGAGGCAGGAGCGCCGCGGCAGGATTTTGGGAGCTTCTGGGATGGAAAGTGGCACACGCCGCAAGTGCAGGGCAGGCCGTCAGTGAGAGGCAGAGCTTGCAGTTCCAGGGACAGGGAAGGGTGAGCCGCAGGTCCCCACGCCCTCAGCGGGCCGACGGGGTGGGCAAGGGCAGAGGGAGGTGGAGCGGGCGCTCGGCGTCCTGCGCCTCCACGCCTTTTGGCGACGATTCCGGGAGGGTGGGTGGGCGCTGGCGACGGCGTTGCAGGGAGTGGACAGGAAGGAAGCAAGTCCCATCTCGGCGCTCCAGGGATGAGCAAATGTCAGTCCCACGACGGTGGCTCGGGGTGGGAGCGGGGGCGACGGTCCGCACCGTCTCCCACCAGCTCTCGGTTCAGTTCTTTGATGAGAACGATTACGTTTTCTCAATCTTTTTTTTTTTTTTTTTTTTTTTTTTGAGATGGAATTTCGCTCTTGTTACCCAGGCTGGAGTGCAATGGCGCGATCTCGGCTCACCGCAACCTCCGCCTCCTGGGTTCAGGCAATTCTCCTGCCTCAGCCTCCTGAGTAGCTGGGATTACAGGCACACGCCACCATGCCCAGCTGAATTTTTGTATTTTTAGTAGAGACGGGGTTTCACCATGTTGACCAGGATGGTCTCGATCTCTTGACCTCGTGATCCACCCGCCTCGGCCTCCCAAAGTGTTGGGATTACAGGCTTGAGCCACCGCGCCCGGCCCGTTTTCTCAGTCTTAAAGCGCTAAGTAAACTCAACTGCAAGACCAGCAAGCCCTGGACCTCCCTTTCTACGCGGTTCCTTGCAGCACGTGCCAGCCCACCCGGTGCCCGGGGCCCATCTGCGGCCAAGAGAAGACTGGGAGGGCTGGCCCCGCCCCCGTGCTTTGGTCCCGCCCCATAACTGGCACCGCTAACCCCGCCCACTCACGGGCGGAGCCTCTGTCCGTCGCCTCTGCCTCGGGCTGTCACTCGGGGCTCCGCCCCCCCGTGGGCGGAGCCTCCGCTCGGCGCTCTGAGCGCACGCGCAGCCAGTCCCGCCCGCGGCTCCGACCCACTGGAGCCCACGTCCCTCCGGGAGCGCGCGCGCCGGTGCGGGTGCGTGCGTGAGCGTGCGCGTCTCCGCTGTCGCTGTCGCTGCCGGTGCTGCACCCGCGCCCTCTGCCGCCGCCGCCGCCGCCGCCGCCGCCCGGGGTCTCCAGACTGAGGAGTGCGTCGGCCGCTGCCCAGCAGCGCCGCGGAGCGGGGAGCGGAGCCGGCGGGAGGGCGGGCGGGCGGGCGGACGGGCAGGTGAGCTCGCTGCGGGCCGGGCGGGCGGGCCGGCCCTCGTCAGGTCGGCCCACGTCAGGCCGGGGCGGGCGGGGGCGGGGGCGCGGGCGCGGGCGGGGGCGGGGGCGGCGCGCCAAAGCCGGAAATGGCGGCGACCCCCGGGCCGGTCCTGCGCGGGCGCTCGGGGCCGGAGCTGCTGCGACGCCGCGGCCTGAGGCGGGCCGGGCCGGGGCGGGGGCGCGGGAAGGTCGGCGCCGGGGCTGCGGGAGCCGGCCGGGCCGGGGGTCTGAGCGCCGCGCCTCGCGGTGGGGGCTGGGGCCGCGCTCCCCGCGGATCTGCCGGGCCCGGGACGCCTCCTCCCCTCCCCAGGTCCCCGCGCCCGCCCCCGACCCCGTGGGGTCTCCCCCTCCCGCGGGGCGACCCGACAAGCTGAAGCGGCGCTGGGTTTAGGGAGATGGATAATTTAGTTTCTGGGTCGTTGTGCTTGTAGCTCAGGGAATTGAAAATTGTTCGTTAACGCACCGTAAATTAATCTTTCAGATGTTGTAAATTCCAAAAAGCGTTTGGTTTGTAAGAAAAAAACCTGTTTTATCCGCTTTTTAAAAACGTTTTTAGCCATGCTTTATATTGAACTCTTAAGGAGAGAGTATTAGGAACTCATCCGTTCAGGTTCTAACTTGTTGGTGTTAAGTGTCTGGATTAAAGACTCTTTTTCGTGTGCCGAAGCCATGATTTCTCACATTCATTCAGTTGTGTCATACAGGAAAAGGAAGCAAAAATTTCAGCTTTATTTTTTGTTTTCCGGCTTAGGCTTGGTTGGGAAGATTCGGTGGTGGTTGGACACTTCTGCCCCTGTTTGTCGGCTTAGAAAAACCTATTCTAATGACAAAGTTAGATTGCTCCTTCTATTGTCATGGTTACTTGAAGGCAAAACTTTACCCAAAGCTTTTGAGGTTTAATGTTCGTTTATTTGCTTCTCTTTTTTAAAAATGTCGTGCTGAGTTTCAAGAATGAGTAATCTGTCAAACGGTAGATGAAATTAGAAGCCTGGATCTGAGGGCTCCAGGGAAGTTTCATGGTTCCCTTTTCGCTTGTGTCGGTGCTGTAGGACTCAACGTGGCTCCAGCTGGCTTCTGGCCCAGCAGAGAGCTGGAGGGGCCTGCTCTGGTTGGCTGGTTGTGTGGCTCTGATGGACATCCCTGGCAATGGTGTTAATGAGCCTGCAGCATCTGAGTCCACCCACCCTCTGACTGTGGCCCCCGACTCACTCTCTACCTGCCGTAGCGGCCTCCTTGCTAGTTCTGAACAGACGCACATGCTCTGTCCTTGGATCTTCTTGGAATGCCTGGTGACTACCTGCTTACAGTGCCACCTAACTTCCTGTCTCCCTTCCTCACCTAATTTTTCCGCAGCACTGAATTCTAGTAATGTCCTGTTTAATGCATTTATCATTCTTAATATTTTACTATGAGGTGAGGTCCATGAAGAGACTATTTTGTGAAAAGAGCAGCTGCTGGCACATGGTCTGGGCCCAGTAAATATTTGTTCAGTGAATGAACGTGAGGAGTTTAGCAGCAGCTGTGTGTGGTGCTGGCCTTGTCACATGAAAGTTGTTATGGGTGAGGACTGAGCAGGCAGAGGTAAGGGTTCCTGGAATGTAGGCCCTCAGGACAGAGAGCCACCAGCTCTCACCTGCCCACTGGGGAAAGACAGCCAGCTAAGAGGTGGCTTGGAAGGGTTCATGGGACCTTTGTAAATCTTTTTTTGCAACTTTGAATCTATAATTATTTCAAAGTTAAAACGTTTCTATTTTTTTTCTTTTTCTTTTTTTTTCTTATTATTCTATGAAGAAGTTAAAACATTTCTAAAAAGTCAGATCTGTTTGGGGGCGGTTGCTCCCGCCTGTAATCCCAGCCCTTTGGGAGGCCAAGGTGGGCTGATCACTTGAGGTCAGGAGTTTTAGACCAGCCTGGCCAACATGGTGAAACCCTGTCTCTACTAAAAATACAAAATTAGCTGGGTGTGGTGGTGCACACCTGTAATCCCAGTTACTCAGGAGGCTGAAGCAGGAGAATCAAACCCCGGAGGCAGAAGTTGTAGTGAGCTGAGATCTCACTACTGCACTCCAGCCTGAGCGATAGAGCAAGACCCAGTCTCAAAAAAAAATGAAAGAAATAATTAAAAAAAAAAAGATCTGCCACTGGTAATAATGCTTTTAGAAATTTTGTCCTTGAATACCAGGAAAAACCCTACACACTAGTCCTTGTACTCTGTTGTGACATTTGGTAATTAAGTAACATGAGGTGGAATGATCTGCCTGGCTCTTAATTCAGGAGAACTCCCTGAGAATGACTGTTGCTGATCCACTTAGAATGACGCCCATCAGCTGTGGTGCTGTGGCAGCGCAGCAGAGTCTGCTAAGTGACTCGCAGACTCCAGAGTTCTTCCCACAGCCTCCACCGCTGCCCATGTTAACGCGGAGTGAGTGGGCTTCAGGGCTTCCCTGCATCCCTGAAGATGCTTGTATTTAAGTGGTTCGGAGATTGAACAGATGCTGTATGTTTCTCAGTCATTTTTGTTCCTCAGTTCCCCTCGCTTGTGGAGGTTGGATGCTGCCGAGCTCGGTTGTACAGCTACCTCCGTGACCAGCACCTTTGCTCAGGGTCTCCCTGTTAATCGTCAGACCTGGAACTTGAAGTCAGGTCTTCTCTAGACCAGGTTTTTTCTAAGTATTTGTTGACCACCTCCCTGGCACCACCAGGAAGAGCCCTGTACAAGGTGCTGGTTGTGTTATATTTAGAGCGCAGATGCGAGATGCCCACATGTATGCCTGGAGTTTAGCAGTTCAATAGCTGCTTGTTGAATCAATGACTAAAATGCAGTGGGGCAGGGAACGATGATAAGGTAGAATTTTATCTAAATCAGGCAGTAAGGTGACTGATACCCGGTTAGGAGTACTGTGTCAGCAGATGAAAGCAGTTTTTCTCCAGTGAGGCAATAGATCCCTGGACCGGGTTAGAAGAAGCCACCTATGGAGAAATGAACCGTGATGACTCGGTCTGGCACGAGAGGTGGAGAAGAGGCCCTGACACCCCGGTATCTCCAAGTGGGAGGTTAAAACTGTAGTGCTGGCCGGGCGCGGTGGCTCACGCCTGTAATCCCAGCACTTTGGAAGGCCAAGGCGGGTAGATCACGAGGTCAAGAGATGGAGACCATCCTGGCCAACATGGTGAAACCCTGTCTCTACTTAAAAAAAAAAAAAAATCAGCTGGGCGTGGTGGCACGAACCTGTAGTCCCAGCCACTCGAGAGGCTGAGGCAGGAGAATTGCTTGAACCTGGGAGGCAGAGATTGCAGTGAGCCAAGATTGCGCCACTGCACTCCAGTCTGGCGCCTGGCGACAGAGCTAGACTCTGTCTCAAAGAAAAAAAAAAAAACTGTAATGGTTCTAAAACGAGGCTCATTTTGATGTTCTGATGAGAACATTCTCATGCTGCAAAGTCCTGAGATGTGTCCAGGGAGCAGCATGGAATAGGTCTTCCCACTGTGGCAGCAGACTCTGTGCTGGACCTTCCTTCCTAAAGGAGGACAAGACCAGGGCTCACATGACTGGGACTGCTCTGTCGCCGAGCTGCTGCATTCTGTAAAATGAGGGTAGTGGTGCCTCCCCTGCCTGCCTGCTGGGAGAGAAGAGGAGACAATAAATGGAAAGGTGTCTCATCACCTGCTTCCTAAATAGAAGTGACAAAGATGCTGAAAAACGGTTATGCTCTTGTTTTATGAAAATGCTTCCCCTAATCTTGGAGCTGGGACTGCCTTGCCAGGACCCCTCAGGTAATGACATCCCTGAAGAGGATTACCAGCTAGTCTGTTATCAGTCACAGGCAATTCAACCCAGAAGATTTAAGGATTAGATTACCCAGCAACCTTTAGTGTAGATTTTGTCTCTCCTCACCCTTTGCATTAACTTCCCTGTGTTGTGTGTAAATGAGGAAGTGTGTTTTGTTTTACTGGTACATGGGAGACATTTAAGGTCATTAGAAGTAAAAATTGTTTTAACAAAAAGAGAAAAATAAAAGAAAAAAGAAAAAATTGTTTTAACAATTTTTAACCTTTATGAGTTTTGTAAACATTGATATTTCACATTGAAGTTGCAGAAATTAGGACAGCATTGCATTTTCTCTCTCTTTTTTTTTTTTTTTTTGAGATGTAGTCTCATGCTCTCGCCCAGGCTGGAGTGCAGTTGCAAGATCTCGGCTCACCACAACCTCTGCCTCCTGGGTTCAAGCGATTCTCCTGCCTCAGCCTCCCTAGTAGCTGGGATTACAGGCGCCTGCCATAGCACCCAGCTAATTTTTGTATTTTTAGTAGAGACAGGGTTTTGCAATGTTGGCCAGGCTGGTCTTGAACTCCTGACCTCAGGTTATCCACCCACCTCGGCCTCCCAAAGTGCTGGGATTATAGGTGTGAGCCACTGTGCCTGGCTCCAGGTTGGTCTTGAGCTCCTGGACTCAAGTGATCTTCCTACCTCAGCCTCCCAGAATGTTAGAATGACTAGTGTGAGCCACTGTGTCTGGCCAGCATCTCATTTACTAAAGAAAGAAGTACTCAGACCAGATTTGGGACATATCTCTGAAAATTCTGGGCTGGTGCAGTGGCTCATGCCTGTAATCCCAGCACTTCAAGAGGGCAAGGCAGGCGGTTTGCTTGAGTCCAGGAGTCAAGACCAGCCTGGCCAACATGGCAAAACCCTGTCTCTACTAAAAGTACAAAAATTAGCTGGCTGTCGTGGCAGGCACCTATAGTCCCAGCTTCCTGAGAGGTTGAGGTGGTAGGATCACCTGAGCCTGGGAGGTTGAGGCTGCAGCAAGCCACAGTTGCGCTGCTGCACTCCAGCCTGGGCGACAGAGCAAGACACTCTCAAAAAAATAAAAAGGAAGTTTTGTCCTGATCAGTAATCCCCTCCTCAGGACAGACCTGCATATGCTAGAATTTAACTTTGTTCCAAAATCGTTCTACATT